CGGCGATGGAGGTGGGGCGACCGCGCCGCAGAGAGGGAGCGACGCGCCCCCGAAGAAGAGGGACAAAGCGTGGGCGAAGGACCAGGGCTCCCATGCCCCGGGGCACCCTGTGGGGCTGGCCAGAGCAGTGAGGCCAAGCTCCGAAGCAAGGACCGTGACCCCAGAGCCTTGGGGCTGGCCAGAGGAGTGGGGCTGTGCCCCTGGAGAAGGATGGAGGCTCATGAATCCTGGGATGCTCCCCTGGACCAACTGAAGAGGGATGCTGTGACCTAGGCAGCAGACTGCCGCCCTCAGACCCTGGAGGGCTTCTGGAGGCTGGCCACAGCTGCCTCGCTCCACAACGGCTCCTCAGGGCTCTGGGTCTCTCGTACTTATCCCCGAGGCCACGGGGAGCCCAAGGGTGCATGGTGGAGGCTGTGGGGTGCCTATCTTGACCCCTACAGAGCTGTGTACAGAGGGCAGCCGGGCTGTCCCTGACTCTTAGTAAATGGCTTTTATTTTTGTACGGATGGCCACATGGCCTGTTGTATGTATTGCATCTCCTCGGGTCCCTCCCTGCATCCGCATACCCCTCCATGCCCAGCGCCTGTGTCCCCTGCTTCTGCCAGGTGTCCCTCTCTCCCTCCAGCCAGCCCTTCCCCACAGCTCTGCCACCTGCCCAGGGATGCGGGGTGCAGGATTTGGGACCTGGCCTCTGGGGCAGGCACGGGGCGGACACTGCACCTCATCTGAGCAATAAAAGGATTCTGTCCCAGAGATGGATGCCTCTCTTCATGGGCCTGGGGGCTGGGATTTGGCTCTACCCAAAGCTGGGGATTGATGGGGGGCAGTGCCATCAGGATGGGGACACTCAGCAATTAGAGATGAAGCTGGGAGAGGGCCCTGAGTGGGGCTGGGAGCTCAAGGCTGGGACCATGCAGGGCCAGTAGCAGGACCCTAGATGAGATGCCCCTGGCAGATGGTGGGAGGGCATCATATAAACACTAAGAGGGACTTTGGGGGACCAGGGCTGCTGTGGGAGCAGAGCACTGCTCCTTCAGAAGCCAGGGTTCCCCTGCTAAGTGCCAGGATGGGCCCCTGGAGACACTTGGTGACTTATTGCATCTTTTCATCTGGGGAGAGGTAGGACCACTGTGCCACCATCCCAGGGGACAAGCTCCAGAGAGTTTGAGTGCTTTACCCTGTGACAACTGCTAGCAAAGCCCTGCCCAGGAGTCTGGTGGCTTTTGCCTGGTGATGGCCGCAGGCTGTGACACCTATCTGCAGCTCAGTGAGAGGGTCGGCTGGCATCAGTGGTGCAGGGGCGAGCAGGTGGGAGAAGGGAACAGGGCTGCAGCGCAGGGTGAAGCGGTGCTGCAGTGCTGGGGCAGGGCACTGCACCCTGCACCATTCCTTGTGACATTCTCCCCAGTGGTACCCAGGCCCAGCACTGCAGGGGATGGGGATGCTGTGGGCATGCAGACTGTGACTGGGCATTCTGCTCCTCAGCCTGCCACTGGCTCAGGGCTCTGCCTCCCCTCTTGTGAGCTTTGGGTGCCCCCCAGCACTGCTTTGGGGCTGTGGTTGTGCCCTGCTCCCACTGCCAGACAGGTTTTGGGACCTGGCTCTGCAGAGCAGTCCCAGCACCCTGGCACCACAGTGAGGAGCAGGTGCTGCCATGTGTGGCTCCGG